GAGTAAATCCAGACAACTGCATACCCCATCTGCCTTTGTGTATGTTCTTTTCTTTAAACCTGCTGCACTAGTAGACCTGAGAACAACATGTATACTGTTTATTAAACGGGTGTGGAAATTTAAAAAAAAAAAACTACTTGTCCAAGGACTAAATCAGGGTTCCAATCTACTTGTCCTTCATGACAATCTGTTTGTCCTGATAAAAAAACAAAAACAATTTTTGCCAGTTTGGAAAATATGAAGAGTTGGTGTTTTTTTTATTAGGCAGAGGTGCTTTTAGGAATGTCTGGGGCTTTTAAAAACAAAAGGGCTTTCTGGCAACTTAAACTGCTATAACATTTCTTAGAACCCCCAAACATTATATTTTATTTTTAAAAGCATAGGCCCCAGAGAATAAATTGGTGGGTTTTGCATCTTTTTATGTAACATGGTATGTGCGCAGCAGTTTTTCAACTATTTTTTTTTAAAATACACTTTTAAATTTTAATGCAACAAAAAATTCAATATTAAAACCCAATATTTTGGTAAAATATAAAAGATGATGTTACTCTGAGTAAATAGATACCATAATGTCACGCTTTAAAATTACGCACACCCGTGTAGCGGCAACAAACAACGTAAATTTTACTGTCCATAGGTGATGCTCTGAATGTCTGTACAGGTTACCACCTTAGATTTACAAAGGAGGTCTGGTGCTAGAATTACTGCCCATGAGCTGAAATTCTCGGTGATGCATCACGTGTGGACCGAATGCTGTTTGCATGTGTGCAGGACCGACGCATGCGTCCGCCTATGGGGACAGGGGTGCTTTAAAACTTTTTAATTATTTTAACACTGTTGCTTTTAATTTTTTTTTATTTATTTTTTTATCACTTTTATTGCAGTCACAAGGAATGTAAACATCCCTTTTGACAGCAATAGGCAGTGACGGGTGCTCTTTATCGAGAGATCTGGGGTCAGTAAGACATCAGTGTGATCTGTGTGATCAAATGCTTCCCATTTTTAAAAATGGCGCTATTTACATATGGAGAAACCGGAAGTAATGTATGCTCATCGCTAACTGTTTTCTATACCAGATGGTCGATTGGGTGTCCTAGTGCTACAGGACAGCCCATGGAAAGGGGGGATGTCTTCTCCCACTGCTTGTTAAAGCAAACCAGTGGCTAGTTAGCTGCTTGGTTTACTTTTACAAGAGAGCCGACCGTCGGCTCTAATTCCTGCTGCTTGCCCTTAGCAGGGCTAAATATAAGGAAAAACCTCCTCTTGCCCGGCACCCAGAACTGCATGTCCTGGGCATCGAGCTATAGGAATTGCACATCCCTGACTAAAAAATGTCTCCTTCACGATGTGTTGTCAGTGATGAATGATGCCGATACAGATTTTTCTGCAACAGGGCACCAGAGAGCATAGTCTCCAGGTTTATTTGACTGTAAACTATAATGTTTTGCAGGTTTGCAAGAAGTGGCCCAAAACACGTGAATGTGAGACTACGTAAACTCAATGGAAATCTGCTCCTTCAGGTCATCACCTCAATCCAGCCAGGTTCAGAATTGCTCTTTCCACAAGAGGATAATGGTGAATGCACTGAAGAAACTGAACATATCAATGAAAGGAAAAGAGAACCTATTCTATCCACCCAAATTGCATCGGGTGATTCCATTCCCCAAAACTTTATCGAATCATCAGTGGAGACTGGAGGTGATGAACTATCAAAGTTTACCAAAGAAACATCAGTCAGTACAAAATCCCCATTATCCCCACAGCCTGAAGAACTGGTTGTAACGCCACATCCAAAGGGGTCTTCTTCTTTAGGGACCCCAGAGATTGAGAGGACGGAGCCAGCAGTGACACCAGAAGTAGAAGCAATGTCACCACTTGCCCCAGAGCCAGAAGGAGCCAAGCTGTCACTTAATGCAGACTCAATTATTGCCACTGAGGAGACTGCACCTGAGCAGGGTAGTGCAGTAAAGACCAGAAATACAGGTGTGTATTCAATTTCCCAAAGTAAATGTTGTTCCACCTTATCACTTGGTTACAGGTAATCCGTTACAGGTATATGGATAATCAGCACTGTTTATAATCAGTTACTGAAGCACAAAGAAAGGCCCTTTTTTTGTCAATCCATTAGTTATTCCTTGTTATTGTAGCCATATGACCTCACAAGACTCATGATTACTTCTTCCTGATCTAGCAGTGTCCTACATGCCAGTATGAAGCTGAAAGGAGGGGGAACCTGTAAGAGAAGTAGCCCTGTAGATGTTGCTAGCACTTGTGTATGTGTATGTATGTGTATATATATATATATATATATATATATATATACACACGTGTATGTGTGTGTGTGCATATACAGTTGTGTTCAAAATAATAGCAGTCAGACATCACTAACTGGATCAATCACTGTTTTTGGTAGAAATGATATTTCTGCATGGCAAATAATTTACTAGCAGGTGTAGTAGAGTAATAGAAATCCAACAGACCCAACAGTCATGACATGCATGCTGCTGATTCTGTGTCATTGAATCACTCATTGAAAGGGGCATGTTCAAAATAATAGCAGTGTGGAGTTCTATTAGTGAGGTCATTCATTCTTTGAAAAACAGGTGGCAATTATTGCCCTTATTTAAGGAAGGAAGGCAGCAAATGTTGTACATGCTGGTTACAGTGCATTTCTCTCTGAAATTCTGAGGAAAATGGGTCGTTCCAGACATTGTTCAGAAGAACAGCGTACCTTGATTAAAAAGTTGATTGGAGAGGAGAAAACATATAAAGAATTGCAGAAAATGATAGGCTGCTCAGCTAAAATGATCACAAATGCTTTAAAATGGCAACCAAAACCTGAAAGACGTGGAAGAAAGCGAAAAACTATCATTCGAATGGATAGAAGAATAGCCAAAATGGCAAGGACTCAGCCAACAATCAGCTCCAGGAAGATGAAAGAAGGTCTAAAGTTACCTGTGAGTACTGTTACAATTAGAAGACGCCTATGTGAAGCCAAGCTATCTGCAAGAAGCCCCCGCAAAGTCCCACTGTTGAAAAAAAGACGTGCTGAAGAGGTTACAATTTGCCAAAGAGCACATTGACTGGCCTAAAGAGAAATGGCGCAACATTTTGTAGACTGATGAAAGTAAGATTGTTCTTTTTGGGTCTAGTGGCCGGAGACAGTTTGTCAGACGACCCCCAAACACTGAATTCAAGCCACAGTACACTGTGAAGACAGTGAAGCATGGTGGTGCAAGCATCATGATATGGGGATGTTTCTCATACTACGGTGTTGGGCCTTTTTATCGCATACCAGGTATCATGGATCAGTCTGAATACATCAGAATACTTACAGAGGTCATGCTGCCTTATGCTGAAGAGGAAATGCCCTTGAAATGGGTGTTCCAACAAGACAACGACCCCAAACACACCAGTAAACGTGCAACATCTTGGTTCCAGACCAACAAGATTGACGTTATGGAGTGGCCAGCCCAATCCCCAGATCTTAATCCAATAGAAAACTTGTGGGGTGACATCAAAAATGCCGTTTCTGAGGCAAAACCAAGAAATAGAGAAGAACTGTGGAATGTAGTCCAATCATCCTGGGCTGGAATACCTGATCACAGGGGCCAGAAGTTGGGTGACTCCATGCAACACAGATGTACAGCAGTTCTCAGAAACAGTGCGACTACAACCAAATATTCATTAAGTCATTCAAAGGAAAGCAAAATCTTCAAACGTTTTTCAGTTTATATAGTGAATGTTTGAGTTTGTAAAGAAGAATACAAACACTGCTATTTTTTTGAACAGTCTAATATTCACTTTTCTTCAATTTTATTTAGAGGAACAACACAAATTTGATATATTTTACTTCATGTTTTGATTTGGAATAGAATGTGTAGTGTTCCCAATGCATTTGTGTGTATGGAAATAATAGCTATTAGAAGGATTTTGAGCTTTATTTATTTTTTTCAACACACTGCTATTATTTTGAACACAACTGTTTATTTTATATATATATATATATATATATATATATATACATATATATATATATATATATTTGAAAATTGATCAGGATGCTGGTATGGGGTATGGCAGTGATCAGGGCACTGGTAGGAGGGGGTATGGCAGTGATCAGGGTGCTAGTTTGGTGTATGACGATGATCATGGCGGTCCCAGTTTCTGTGCATGCACCTTCAGGCCTCAGATTGGCTCCAAGGCATGCACCCTTAGGGCTTATTCAAATGGATGACTAGTCCCATCTTCTGTGCAGAGCCCCTAGCAGATGCATGTGCATCCACCTTGGAGCAGCCTATAAAAGTGGATGCACACACAGCGACTGCACAGAGACAATCGCATATCAAAGTTTAACATGCAAGCAGGAGCAGGTGTGTGAATCCGAACACAGACATTGTGCATTTGGATCCGTGTACCTGCTCCTGCCCGCATGTAAAATTTTGACAGGCAATTGTGTCCATGAAGCTGCTGCGTGTGCATCCACCTATATAGGATGCCTGCACAAAGTTCCGAGGTGGATGTACATGCATCTGCCAGTGTCTCTGCATGGTGGACAGGACTAATCGCTCCTTTGAATGAACCCTTAGATGTCAGATTAACCGCAAACCCTTTACCTTCAGAAACTACAGGAGTGCGGGCATCATGGCTACATCCTCAGCCACCGGTGGGCTTTCAGTGATATCAGCAAAGTGGGTGGACCAGGCTTTGTAATTTGCATTCTAATGAGATGTTGGTTGGTGCCAGCACAAAAGATGTCATTGCCTGCCTGATATTACCTGGTGGGGATTGAGGATGCCTGATTTAAATTATTCATATTTTAAAAACATACAGAGTTCATCTATAATTGAAGTTCCTTTTCCAGAATGTTTTGCCCATTAAGAAAGTGAACAAATATATTCAGAAATGGTTTTGAACTATGTACGTGAATGCATTGTGATTGGTGTAATTGCTAATTATCTTTATTTGTAGAACCGACTGATGTGGCTCACTCAGATGATATGAAGGAAGAGGCAGCGAAGGATAATAAAAATGTGAACTGCAGCCAGGATGGGACAAAATGTCAGGCTTCTAGTATCCTTTTATCCAGGTCCAACAAAGTTTCTGGAAGGGAGAGCAAGACCAGGAATGCAGAAAGTAAAAAGAAGACAATTGAGAGAGGGAAGAGCAAACTAAAAGAAAGCAAAGCAAATGTAGATGCTGACAAACCAAAGATTATACCTCCAAGTAAGGCAGTGAAGCGGAAGTGCTCCCCTACTCCTGTAAATAACAGTGATAACCCAGCTAAGATCTCCAGACTAGAAAGAGATGAAGAAGGGGACGTTTCTAAAGATGTAAAAGAGGACACTGTTAGCAAGAGTACAAAACTAAAGGCGCCATCAGAACGCAAGTTCCATTGTCCAGACTGCAATAAAAGCTTCTGCCAGATAGGTCATCTACGACGACACAGTTTCATCCATACTGGCCACAAGCCATTCCTGTGCACAGAGTGTGGTAAAGCCTATTGCTCAGAGGAGAGCTTTAAAGCCCACCTTTTAGGCCACCAGGGTCTCCGTCCTTTTAAATGCTCACTCTGTGATAAAGCGTATGGCACACAACGTGACCTGAAAGAGCATTCTGTGCTCCATACAGGGCAAAGGCCCTACCGCTGTGAGGACTGCGGTAAAAGCTTTGCCCGCCGTCCTACTTTACGTATCCACCGTAAGAATTACTGCACACCAAGGACTGACGAGGCAAAAACTCCTCTCCTTTGCACAGTGTGCAACAAGCAGCTCGCCAACAGTTGCTCACTGCGCAATCACATGCTCGTACATACAGGGGAAAAGCCCTATACGTGTCCGGACTGTGGCAGTAGCTTTCGCCATAAGGGAAATTTGCGGATTCACCAGCGACTTCATACTGGTGAAAAGCCCTACAAGTGCCAGTTCTGCGGCGATTCGTTTCCCCAGCAGCCTGAGCTAAAGCGGCACTTGATCCTGCACACTGGAGAAATGCATTTGTGTACTGTCTGTGGCAAGGCGTTAAAGGACCCCCATACTCTGCGTGCCCATGAGCGCCTTCATACAGGCGACCGCCCGTTCATGTGCCAGTACTGTGGAAAAGCCTACCCCATCGCCACCAAACTGCGGCGCCACCTGAAATCCCACCTGGAGGATAAACCATTCCGCTGCCACCTATGTGGCATGGGCTATAATCTGCAGCACAGTTTGAAGCGCCATTTGCACAGCCACAGAGATAATGAACTGAAAACTGAAGATTCTGCTGCCGAGTCAGCTGCAGGCAGCGAGCCGGAGCACACGCTGGTATTGCTGCAGTTAGTTGAGCCAGAGGAAGCTTCCGAGAGCTCAAACAGGATACTGATTGCAGACTTTTCAGAGAGCTCTGAAGCAGATCATTCCCACAATACCCGCACACTGCTTTTTCCACTGAACTCTGAAACAATAGAGGTCTCTGCAGGTTCCAATCACCGTGGTGGAATCCTGCACAGGGATCATTGCCCTGGAATAATACTGCTTCCTCAGGCACTGGGATTCAGTACTGTAATAGAGGAGGTGGAGGTTGAGTGAGGAATGTATGAAGTTTGCCTAAATAAAATATGTTTTCATCTCTAACCTTGTGTAAAAGTTTCTGTACTTGTAAAAAAAAAAAACCAAACAGTTTTTAACGCACGCAAACCTCTCAGACTTTGCCGCAAGATTAAAAAATCTCCAAACCCTAACTGCAAGCAGTCCAAGATGCCTTTAAAGCGGAGCTCCACTCAAAAGGGGAAGTTCCGCTTTAAGCCTTTGTCCCCCCCCCCCCTCCCCATTAAGGATTGGCATCTTTGGGGAGCGAGTACCTGAATTTGGCAGGTACCCGCTCCCACTTCAGCTGCAATCGCCTTGGGGATCGGAGTGAAAGTGAAAAGTGAAAATCAGCTTTGATATGACCGGGGGGTAATTGAACAAGACATCAGTTACATTAGGTTTAGTGGCGGCTCTCCAAGCACAACAAAGGATTTGATTAAAGCACTTACAGGTTATACCTGTTTAAAAAAAAAAAGTCCTGTAAAAGTACTTAAAGCGGAGTTCCACCTAAAAAAAAATAAAAGTCAGCAGCTACAAAAAATGTAGCTGCTGACTTTTAAAATACAGACACTTACCTGTCCCTTGGTCCAGCGGTGTCCTCACCACTGCTGGTTTCACCGGCTGTCTTCTCTCCCTGGTATCAGCATCTTCAGTGTGGTCACCTGGTTGTGACAGCTTGTGGCTTCACAGCCAGGTGCCCACTGCGCATGCACGAGAAGCGCTTAACTTTGTGAATGGCCCCGTAGTCTGGGACCTGTCATGTGTCCCAGAAGACGAGGGGTGAGGACAACTTTCACTTCCGATCCCCAAGGCGATTGCAGTCGGTGAAACCAACAGTGGTGAGGACACTGCTGGACTAAGGGACAGGTAAGTGTCTGTATTTTCAAAGTCAGCAGCTACATTTTTTGTAGCTGCTGACTTTTATAGGACTTTTTTTTAAACAGGTATAACCTGTAAGTGCTTTAATCTAATCCTTTGTTGTGCTTGGAGAGCCGCCACTAAACCTAATGTAACTTATGTCTTGTTCAATTACACCCCCGGTCATATCAAACCTGATTTCGAAATTGTGTGACTTACAGTGAAGTGACTTGCCGATTTGAGGTGCGATTTGCAAGACATCTGACACATGTCTATGCAAATCGCACCAAAAGTAGTGCATGTACTACTTTAGAAATCGGTGCGGCTCTGACCAAGTCAGAACCGCACCGATATGACCGCTCTAATAGTGGACAATAAGGTGCAACTTGGCATGCGATTTGCAAGTCACATGGCAAGCAAATTGCATACCAAGTCGCACCTGATGTGACCGGGGTGTTAAACTTTGACTATAAAACTATAAAAAGCTGATTGGTTTCTCTGCACAGCTGCACTAGATTTTTCACTCTCCAGTTTTTAGCAAATCAACCCATCAGCCCTGGTTCACACTGATGCGGTGCGGAATTCGCAGCGTTTTTAGTGCGAATTCCGCACTGCATCGGAGTCGTACCCCGTTCATGTAAACCGCTGCGGGTGTGTATGTTAACAACACCCCAAAAGCAGTCTGCATAATGCGGTGTGATGCGAAGAATCAGATCGCATGGGTGTGAATACCTATGCGATCCGATTCTAGTGCAGACCCAAAAAAAGGTCCTGCACATTTTTGGTGCGATGCGAATAGAGCCATACAAAATGTATAGCTTCAACCGCACCGCACACAAATCGCATGTGATTTGCACAGGAATGTGGTGCAGTGCAGTGCGAATCACATGCGATATACGGAGCCGTACGTATGTGAACCCAGGCTCAGAGTTTGAAACCTTTCCTGTAATGTAAGCCCAAGATCTCATGGAGGAGTACACACCTGCAATAATGAAGTGTTATTGGACATTTTATAGACCTTGTGGGGGAGATTTACTAAAACTGGTGAACACAGAATCTGGTGCAGCTGTGGATAGTAACCAATCAGCTTCTGACTTCAGCTTGTTCAATTAAGCTTTGACAATAAAACCTGGAAGCTGATTGGATACTATGTACTGCTACACCAGATTTTGTATACACAAGTGTTCATAAATCGCCCACTTTGAGTCTGACAGGTATTCTTGAAACTATCAACTATTCTCAACATAATACTCTAAAGAAACAATTAAAACAGGCCTGTCATATAAAACAAGCTTTTTAAATCAGGTTCAAACTGAGCATATGATGAATAAAATGTTTAATCAGGAAACGTGAGAATAACCAGTAGATGCAGAGCTATAGGCAGCTTAAAGCAGAAGCAAAGATTGCTTTACGCATTTGACATAACATACATATTATAACACACTTATCTCTGATTAAGAGTTTTTAGGCAGAAGAGACTTATAATATCTCATCTACCAAAAGACCTTACTTGCTGGCCAATTTTTGTCTTCAGGGTTTACTTCCACTTTCAGGTATATGCAAAACTTGATTCTTCCTGTAAACATGGAGCTTGGCCCAATGCTCTTGTTAGGCCCCATATACACTGGGTGTTTTGCCCTGGTGCATGGGGCTCAGGTGTTTAGTTTTGGGAAAAGGGCAGAGGTGAGCCGTCCAGCCCCACTGCAGGCAGCCTGTCAAACTATAAGAGGCTGACAGTGGCTACAGCTGAACGGTGCACCTAGCAGTATACATGCTTTAGGCTAGGTTCACATCCGCATGAAAATCCGTGCAGCCGCACCACCCGCACAGAGGAATGCGGACCCGCGGGTGGGTGCCATTATCTCTAATGGCACGCAGCCCGCATTAGAAAACGCAACCGTACTGTGAACCGAGGTTCCCGTGCGGGCTGCGTTTTCAGAAGAAGTGCAGGGACTTCTCTGCGTGTCATGGGCACGAGAGTCCATTCAAATCAATGGGCTCTCGTGCCCGCGCAAAACGCGGACTGCACGGCTGCATATACGTGAACTGGGGCTTAGAGTGTTAAGCATCTAGGAATGAATGCCTGAAATGCAAGAAGTCTGCCTTCCAGGCATTCGTCTCTGGGTGCATACTGCCCTAAACGTAGGAACCACTAGGTGCACCATCCAGCGGCAGCAGCTATCAGCTTCTCATAGAGTATGATAACCTTCCTGCAACGAGACTCGGCTACACGCTCTTTATACATGTGGCCTTAGGAACCCAATGGGTGCCAGAGGTGTTTGCATTCAGCTACAACCGCCTCTGCTGCCATTGTCCCCACTTAAAAGGACAGCGAGATCTTCTAACCATTGTTTGATCATCGGATTTGGGGTGAAATGATAATGCCATCCAATCAGTGCCGTCCCTAGGCGGATACGGGGTGTGTGTGCCGCACCGGGTGACACCGGACCCTCTCCACGAGCTCCACGAAAAGTTTTAAAGCAAGCTGACGATCCCCGCAGGATGGATCAGATCTATGGATTGAGCATAATGGATCGGAGTCCGATCCATTATGCTCCCCAATCCGCAGATCCGATCCATCTTGCGGGGGATCATCGGCTTGCAAACTATACGGGGTTAACTGATCTAGGTAAGGCTGTGCAAGATTCCGGAACTTGTCTGTAACCAGGAAATACGGCTTCAATAGCAGGAACCTCATCCATCTGACATCACTTCTCGAGCAGGGGCGGACTGACAACTCATGGGGCCCCCGGCAATAGGGGATCATGGGGCCCCTGTGTCCTTGCCCAAACTCAAAAAAGCCTATGAAAAAGGTACCAGGGGCATCTCATGGGGCCCCCTACTGATCCCGGGCAGTGCCCAGGTTTCCAAATGGTCAGTCCGCCCCTGTTCTCGAGCATATGCAGACCGGACCGGTGTTGAAAGGTAAGTTAACCCCATATAGGCTGCAAGTCGACCACCCCTGCAAGATGGATCGGATCTGCGGACTGGGGAGCATAATGGATCGGACTCCGATCCATTCTGATCAATCCACAGATCCGATCCATTATGATCAATCCACAGATCCGATCCATTATGATCAATCCGCAGATCCAATCCATCCTGCGGGGATCATCAGAGGGGTGACACCAACCCTACGGACATCCCTGCATCCAATGTGGCTGAAAATGGCTTGACCAGGGAATGACCACCTTGTGTCTGTGACGTGCCTTAGACTAAGAGGAATAGAATCTCACTTTGTACATTCAGGAAGAAGTGATTCTCAGATGCAAGGAAAAGCTACCCACTCCCTTTTTTTCCATGTATAGAAGAGCATGTGACCACCTCCCCTTTTTACCAAGGATGCACTGCTCTTGTCTGAGTGACCAATCGCCAGCCCTGAACATTGCAACATGAAGTAGGCTAGTTGTCCTGTATAAGCTCTGACATGGAGCATACACTTGGCTTTACAAACATAGAGGCAGGGAAGTGCAGTAAAAAGGAGTAGAATGTGTATCTGGTAGGGGTTTTTAGCTTTTGAGAGAACTTATTAATTTCCCCTGAATGGGTAAAGTGACAGACCACCTTTAAAGCCTCAACAGAATTTTAGAATAAGATTAGGTATTTTAGAAATGATGACTTGGTAATGTTGTACGTCTCTATTTAAATACATGTAGTGCTTAGCAGAGTTATCTAACAGCGTGCACCCCAATATCCTTCATCCTGAAAGAGGAAATACTGTGAGTGCAGGGTGTCACGGGCCTGCCCCCTGAGGGGACGCCACCACCGCACCCTGCACTCTCAATGTAATGATGCATAAAGCTGCACTGATGTTACAGCACTTTTCTCTGCATCATTAAGGACTGCACACCATTCGAGAAGATCCAAAAGAGGACCCTGCACATTACCTGACCTGTCTAAAGGCTTCTGGAAAAGATGAGAGAAAAAAAAAAACCAGCACTCTGGTGTCACAGCAAAAATGGTGAAATACTGCAGATAAAAACGCCAACATGTTGTATATTTAATGGTTTGTGTGTTGCCTGCCCTTCCCCCTGTTGTGCCCATGTGATCTTGTGGATTACATTGATGAAGTAGTCATGATTAAGGCCTGGCTGCCGATACACGTTACCATTGTTATCTGCTGTATTTCTCAGTTTTTGTAA